AGGTGATGTGTTGACAGTCAATGAAAATGATTATAAACTCCAAATTACCTGCTCCAGGTAACTCAAGGAAAGAGGAGCTCCTTTCAGGTCCAAATGGATAAGCCTTGGGACAAAAAATAGCTTGGTTAGTATAAGACAAGCCAGCTTTTTTCCACAGTTTACATTTACTATTGTTAAGTGTATGGTTTGGGTTAGCTGAGATTATTAACTTTTTGAATAATCAGAGATAATCCATCCCTTAAAACTAAATATTTAATATGAAGTATAAAAAATAAGAATATTTTTTTTTTTAACCCTGGAGTGGACTGGCAGTCTCGGCCGCACTTCTCACAGGAAAACCTTGACTGCTGGTTTTCTTTGGACTTCTGTATTGCTCTTTTTGATTTAAGGCCTTCGATTTCTGTGTGTCTCAAATTCAATGAAATATATTCAGGTTTCTTTCAGGTAAGTTATTTATTTATTTAAAGTATTAAAAATTCTAAGTAACATTTGGTAAACACTAAAATGAAATAGAGTCTCTGAGAGCCAAATCCATATCTGATTAGGTCTTGAACGACCTTCAAAATTTTAAGTACTTATTAGTTATTCAGGACCATCCATTAATTATGCCAACAATTTTTAGGCAAATTTTTTACAAAGTCCTTCTGCCTTGTCAACAAATGTCAAACTCTCAAAAACCCCCCGTCCCCCTATTACTTATGTCAAAAATTGTTTAACACACCCAACCACCGCAGTAGAAAAAAATACAGATCTTTTTGAATGCTTAAGATGTAGAAATCATTGGGGGAAAACAAATTAATTTTAAAAAATTAAACATGTTAAAAAAAATTAATTTGTAACAATTATAATCTATGACTAGAGCCAATTTTATATTGCAAAATTAATTAAAGAATTGATAAGGCCTAAATATAATTATTCTAAAATTATTACTTATTTTTTTCATCTTCAAGGTCATGAGCCAAATGTTCCTCTTTTGCAATAGCGACAATAACTTTTCGATTTTTAAATTCTCATTGTCATATTTTCATATAGATATTATTAAGGACCGGATAACATCACCCCTCTCAGTCTTTTGGCAGCCACTCAAATTGGCAGCATCCTTGGCGCTCTTCTGACCATATGAAATTGCAAGAATTCTTATAGCCATTAAAATAACAAATATTTTGCAACAAATTTGTGGTTTTCATTTTATTTTTTATTTTTGTTTGTGTATATATTAAAAAGAAAACAGAAAACTTCGATTTATTTTGAGTTCTCCCTTGTCAACAATAAATTAAACTTTTCCCTATCCCCCTATTTTGTTGAAATAATTAATGGATGGCCCCTTAGATCAGCACTTACATTATTTGGTACCTAATCTTTTAATTCCCTATCAAAAAATCATTGTAAGCAAAATATTACAGGCATGCTTTCCTCTTGCCTATGTCTGATGTACAAACGTTTTACCTTTAGAAATATAAAAAGCAGTCTGAAAGTGGGAGTGGTGGCTTGGAGTCAGAGGATAACGTAATTTTTTTTCTCCCTTGAATATGATGAAACCAGTTGAAGGGTTGGGTGTGTGTGTGCATGGGCGCCCGCAGAAAACTTTCTGGGGGGGGGGGGGGGGGAAAAAAAAAAAGATTAATTTTCCGGGGGGGGGAAAAAATTTTTTTTAATACATTTTTTGTCTATTTTTGTCTAAAAATTTTTTTATCCAATCAATCCAGGGGAGGGCAAGTGCCCCACCTTGCCCCTACCTGCGGGCGCCCATATGAGTGTGTGTGTGTTTTAATGTCTCTGGCACTTGTTATGGAACTTTTTATAATTAAATAAAGTGAATTGCATGCATTTTAATGCTTATTCTTATGCATAGCATGCATGATTGATGACTATTGATGACGAATCAAATTGACACATAGCTGATATGTCATAACTCATAATATGAGGAATATAAATAGAATTTTTGGTCTTTAATAATAATAAGTCATAATAAGGTTCTCCAGCGAAAAGTGCAGCCAAGACTGCCATTCCATGATTGATTTTGTAAGCCATTTGATGAATTGTCAATAGCTCCTTGTCGTGAAAATGGAAGGATCCCATATATAAAAACGAAGTGACTGGTTGGTGCGAAATGAACAGAATAAATAATTGCAGCCACCAGGGCTCAATTTTTTATTGTGGCGATGCGTTTACGTAAATCAATAAACACTTACTGTTTCCACCATTTTGCTGACAACACGCCATTGTTACTAGCAATTTTTCAAAACTAATTTTTATTTTATATCTATTTTTACGCTTTTCATTTGTTAACACAGTGTGTAACTAGCAGATGTTGAGAGCTGAGGGTTTAGTAATATGGAAACAAGGGCCAGCAGGTCATTGACACTTCTTGCCACAAATTTAGAAGGATACAATAAAGTTGCTACATTAAAAATAAAATTAATTTGTGCGTGAAATTACAATAAATTTATACTATCCAACTCAACCTTTTGCCCCAAGTTAGGTCCTAATTTTTTTAACCAGGCTGCCATGGCAGGGGACGTGTCAAAAATTTAGTACCCAACACAGTGGAAGAAATGGGGAGGGAAAAGGGAGAAGGTGTGTTACATTAAAAAAAATATATAAAAATTAAGAGAATGGTTTAAATTCAACCAAAAAAAATAGCGGTACATTGTATCTATGGTAAATGTAGCAACTTTATTGTATCCCTCCAGATAAGCATTAAGAAATGTCAATGACCTACAGTCACACCCTTCCCTCAACTAAAACATGTGTGCATACAAAGGAAGAAAAACAATTTTAAAAAAAAAGATTTTAAATAGCAGTGTCAACACGTCCAGCGACCTTTAGCATTTAATCTAAAGGGACCCTGACATGCATTTGTGGTAGTTTATTTTATTTACACTGAAGAAGTAAGTTTACAAACATATAATCCATTCAATTATCTTTAATTTGATACCAAATTTTGTCTTACAACCAAACAATAATAATTTTGATATTTTTTTAATCCCAACCTCTCACTTCTCGGACCCGCATCCGAATAGCCACTTCCTTCATGTCCAAACTATCTTGAATTTGTTGAAATGAAGTACCGTAAACTTTGATCGACTATTAGTATTAGCGGTCACAAGACAAGGCTGACAGACAAATATCTAGCTCATAATATCTTGCGCAATTTTGTTACAGCGGTCATTGACTTGTTCGAATATATATTATAGCAGGACGAATATCTCGAGACCTTATTTGTCCGGCCGCCGGACATATAGACACTTTGTTTTAAATAATAAAAATCCAAATAACAGTTTCATCAAAAACACTTTTAAACACTTTATTACAGGTTCCACTGAAAATAAAATCCCAAATTCAAAGTTGTCACAAAAATTAACACAATTCTAATACCCATTTTCAAAATGCCGAAAATTACTATCCCTCCCCATTTGCAGACATGTGTTTACACTACCTTTTTTTTACATGGCACATGGCCGCCATCTTGGTTGCTATATAACATTTGGTTGCCATGATGGCAAGTTGGCAGCTGTTGTAAATAGGTGGAGTAGATAGCGTAAATTTACCCACCCCCGAAATGAAATGTATTCATGAGGAAGGAAGCATTTAATTTATAATTTAGTGGTGGGCTTTGCGCTCTACCCACCGCATTATATGCTAAGGACGCATCTCGCCCTAACCATCAGTGGCCAAATAATTTCAATATAGGCCTAAATATTATAGTTATAAAATAGTTTTTATTAATTATCATTTCTATAACTATAATGACTAATAAAATACATAAATTTTGGCCTTTTTTATTATTAATATTTTGGTAAGCCAATATTTTTATTATTATTAGTATTAGTCTACTATTTTATTAATTTAAAAGTTTGAAAATGGGACCTGTGTGGGAGCTGATTCTTTTGATCTTCAGACATTTTAGAATAGAAGAATCTTGGGGTATTTCCATGAAAGTAAATTTCGCAACAAATTTTATGTCGTTCTTTCCCCTTATAATCTTATATTATTGTTTTGACTGGAAATAAGTACTTCCGCTTCCTTTATTCTTTCAATATTCAATCAGAGTGACTCCATAGCACAAATAAAATTGTACATTTAATGCCTATCTACTCTGTACCCTGAACACAATTTTACTTTCATGTTCTGTTTAAATATTTAGGTTTATATCGTTGAAAACACAAAAATTCCGATGTGTTAACCGTAAATCCTTGACCCTTTATTTTTACGACTTTAACCAATTAGTCAATTACATGGATCTAATTTTACAGTGTTAGTGTTAGTCTTAGAGACCTTAGTCTTTAGGATCCAAAGCAATAATGCATATGTTTTCAGTTCAAAAGTCAGTTTCAATATAAATAACTTGCACATTTTCCCAAACATGGCTAAAAAAATGCTGTTTATGCCATTTATTGGGTGACATTTATTCATTAAAATTCATTTATATGCACGTTTTTTTTGAAGTTGATCAACAAAGCTCATGGACAGTGGTAGTTGTGGGATTAATGTAGAATTTCTTTGCTCAAATATTAGTAATTTGGAATTTTATTAATTAAATATATATTATGTGATTATTGCCAATTGCCATATTATTGTGGAATACTGGCAATTATTACGATCATTAAGAATACTACTCAACAATTCACGAATCACGTTAGAATGTCCTAATTTTTTACATCTTTCTGATAGTGCAGTTCTTTTTTCTTTTTTAAAAGAAAAAAATGTACCATACTGAAACACTTACTTGTTTAATTTTTTTAAATATACATATTCAGATACCTTAGACTTAAGTTAAATTCTGCCGGATATGGAATCCGAAGAAACATCGTTATAACTTATAACTGAGCGCGTACTGTGACAAAAAAAAGCGCTGCGTATTGATATACCACATTTTAATGTAACTAAAAAATATTAGCCTACTATGTTAAGTAATAAAAGTATTAATTTTTTTACATTTTGTTGTTGTTGTTAATATTTATTTTAAAAAATAAAATTGTTATCTAGTAGGCACGAGTCTTGAACTTTAGGAGTTTTACATTAAGATCATAATTATCACATGACTAAGCACATGATTCAAAAGTCACATGACTACGGCAGTACCTTGTAAACACTACATCATATAATATAGGGTGAGCAAGTCACTTAAAGAGTTCAGTTACAAATTCACCCTTTAGTCTTTTTAGTGCCTTGGCCAAAGAATAAGATAAATCATGGGCTTGAAAACTTTATTTTTCACCTTCACCCTTTCAATGCTTGTAAGTTTTACAGAAACTAGGTCGACGTACTCTAAAAGTTTTGTACGGCCCATGTCTGTTGAGTTTGAATCAGAAGTTAACCAGGAAGATTTTCCACTAAATGCTGGAAATAGGCTCAATTTAAACAAAAAAATCGCCAAGCAGTCGCCACCATGCTACATAAAAAAATCAAATTTTTCAGATGCCTCTCAAATCATTAAGTGAGTATTTAATTATTTTTTTACGTTGGTAAACTTGTTATTAAATTAATTATGATTATCTACTATTTAAAGTTATATGATTATACGACTTCACTTAACCAATCCACTTATGATTGCATGGCATGTGATAGGTAATAAAATTATAGTTATATAGCGTAGTCATGGGGCCTACAAGTACAAGGAGTATGCAATTAATAATTCATCCTTACAAAGGCATCATTAAAATTATCATATTTTCACAGACAATTTCAATTGACAATTTCAATCACAATCTTTTTTCTTTCCTTGTCATGAGTTAAAAAGAATAAGTATGTACAGTTTAAAAATAAAATCTTCAAAAGATCCAAGTTCATCTGATGTATATTATTGTCTAACCTTTGCAACTTGAGTAGTAGCCTGACTTGAGCTGTATTTTATTTAAAGTGAGTGAGTTGCTCCCTTAGTCTTGTTCTTGCCTATTTGATCCAACGGCAAGACTTAGTCAAGACCGGAAATAGACCAGGATGCAGTGGGGGACCAGCAATGTGTCTTGTGTGTTTCACTCTGCTCTTTGTGCATTCTACATTGCAGGAGTTGTCAGAATTTACATCATGTCAGTGTCGTACCACCTACGGGACTCCATCTCTTGGTTTGATTTCAGAGTTTGCCTTCTCTTAGAGTAGTTAACCATCCAAGATTAACAATATTTTCTTTAATATCACAAAAGTTGACTACAGCCTTTCCGATTCTAGCCCTGACATCTGCTTCGGTTCCATCAATTATGTCAATGGTGCTGCCTAAGTAGTTTTCCTGGTACCCCATCTTGCGTATAGTCATCTAGCCTCTAGCAGTAGGTATTTTGCCCTGTATGGTTCAACTGTATATAAATTTTATAGTAGGCCTATATATATATATACAGTAAAATAGTATTGAGTTTCAAAAGTTTGAAGCTTTGGTTACAGTAGGCGTAGGTTGCATAAAATATTTTTGCTTTCAAGTCTTATTCTGCATAAAAAAGGATTGAAACATTGTTACATTGATGAGTACGCCATTCAAGATTCTGGGTAGTGTTATGAGACTTTGTTTAACATCATTTTTGAAATTTTGAGTGTACAGAGGGAATTATGCTAACATTATATGCTTTAATATCTTAATTAAACATTATTAATTCTAATCTATGCTTTCCATTTATTATGGTGTGGAAGAGAGCTTTATGATTAACCTAACTTGTAATTTTTTGTTTAAAAAATATTAATCCTTTGCTATCTTCCACTTTATTTTATCCAAATGAATAAAAAGCTGATGCAATGAAATATGTCTGAATATAAACTTCTAATTGAAATATACAGTGTAAAATTTTTCAACTACATTTATAAATTAGATTAAAACAATTTTTATTCTCGATAACTTTATTTATTTTGAATTGACGTTTGAATTTGATATATTTCACCCAAGTAGCATTTTAGTCAGGGGTCAGCAACCGCTTGTAAGCATGCCAAATGGGATATGCAACACACACAAAAAATTCAGCATCAGACATATTGATGTAATATGGAATGTAGTAAGAATAAAGTTTTAAAGTGCTCAATGCCGGAAACATAATCAGATAAATTTAATATTTGTTTTTGTCAGTTTCAAATCATTTAAAATGATATTTAATAAATAAACATACATAAAATGTCATTATTTACTATTTAGAACAAGCAAGCGACCATTTGAAGACGCTCAGATTCTTGGTAATTTGTCTGCTGCATTTGACTGGCGAAATGTAAATGGTGTTAACTATGTTAGCACCACCCGCAATCAGCACATACCTCAGTGTGAGTATAGCATACAAATAATAAGGCCTTGGATAAGGGGTTCCCAAAGTGGATGTCGACATTAAAAATATTTTTGCTAATCATTCCATGTTTGTTTAAATATCCTATTTCACATTGAACTTAGTCAAATTTGGCATAGGGTGCCTTTGGAAAACCTGGAATCAGAGAGGGCACCAAGAATCCAAAACTTTGAGGACTACTGCCTTAGATGATAATTTTTTTTTTTTAAACCTCTTAAATAAATTATTGAATTTTTTAAAGATTAATTTTTTTAGATATTTAAAAAAAAATATATTATTCTGAAAGTGTCTAAAACCAAATTATTCTTGTTATTGTTCATTATTCCATTACATGGTTGAGGCTTTCCTCATTTGAAATCAAATTTATATCGTTTTAGATTGTGGCTCATGTTGGGCTATGGGCTCAACAAGCTCTATGGCAGACCGCATCAACATCAAACGAAAAGGTGCATGGCCGAGTGCTTACCTCTCTGCTCAGGAAGTTATTGACTGTGCAGATGCAGGAAGTTGTCAAGGTGGTGATGACAAACTTGTATATCGGTATGCAAGTAAAGATGGAATTCCTGATGAGACTTGCAACAACTATCAAGCTCAGAATGGGGGTCAGTTGTTGTTTTTTAATTATATCATCATATTTTAAACATTTCTCTTTTATTTTTGTGACTCATAAATTGTGTCACAAAGTCAAATTTGTTTTGTTTGACAACCAAATTATAATTTCTGCCTACAGCATGTAATGGAATGAACATGTGCAAGACATGTAGTTATGGGGGTAAATGTGCTGAAGTCACCAGTTTTAAGAGGTGGAAGGTATCCCAATATGGAGCTGTTGCAGGGCGGGAAGCAATGATGGCAGAGATTCAAACTAATGGCCCAATCAGGTGAGGATGAAATTTTCCTTTATGATATAGCTAACCAGTATACCTGGCTTTGCTCGGGTTTGTGATCAGAAAAAATCTCATAAGCGTTATAAGCGAACACGTAGTTAAAAACACTTTTCTAAAGTAAAATTTTCTTCTATAAAAGACCAGAATTGATAATTCTTGTAAAAATTGAATTTGTGTCCCATCCCATTTTGGTTAATATTTCTAAATTTTAAGCTTGTCAGGTTTGTTGACAGACATTCCGCCCATGTGTCCAAACCAATTAATTTGTTGTTGAGCCATATATACTAGGTGATTGGGATGACATCAACCATTTGTCTTATTTTATTTCCTGGTCCTGCATGTAGTATTTTTTTGTTTGGCCAGCAGCTCATCTTAAAAATCTAATCTCATAGGTAACAAGTGTTTTTTCTCAAGACTTTTATTCAGAGCCTAAGAGTTTTGACACTGTAAAACTACTGATTACCCAAAGTCAGTAATAAAATTTAGAAATAAACTTACTTGATTTGTCTTTAAAAAGGTTATAATAAATGTACAACATGTAAATAATTTAATTTAAAAAGAATAATCTAATACAGAGTGAAAGGGCTAAATCAAAAAATGTTGATTCTCCCCTTACACTCACACATGCACTATATTATGAAGTGGGTAATCAAAATTTATTAAAGTACACCCATGAGTGTAAACCCCAAAGCACCTTTCTTCACGCCCCTGAACTATGCAATAATTCTAGTGTACTATTTTTTGAAAGCACATGGAATAAATCTTTATTCAAAAGTCAGTGATTCGTCTATTTTTGTAAATAATGCTAATACACAGAGATAAAATTAAAGTAAAAGATTTTTTTATCTAGTTGAGTATTAAAGGTATAAGTAACCTACTATATAAATATATAAGTTATCATGCATATAACAATATACGATATGGCACGACATTTTAATGGTAAAGGTGGAATGGTAATAATGAAGGTAAATGTAAGTTAAATAAGTATCAGGTACTTATGCCCATATTGAGAAAAATCAAAACTGCGACATGCTTTGTGTCTGTAAATGTGCAGTTTTAATTGACCTGTATATTATTAATTATTATGGTATTGGTGAACTTAACCATTAACAATTTCAACATGTGTTTGTTGTTGCATTCCAAAACAAGAAAGAAAAGATAATTTGCTGTGCATTTAATTTTGACAAAAGTTTTTTTGTTTTCTAGTTGTGGTATTGAGGCTACAGAAGGCCTTGATAATTACACAGGAGGAATTTACAAGGAGCATAAACTTTTCCCCATGGTATGATCAATTTAAAGTACTTTTTCTTATGTCCCTGAAGACCATGAAATGCATTTGTTTTTTTAAAAGGATTCTTTTTTTTTTTTTCTTCAAAAGACAGAATGTCCCCAATCAGTAATCTAGCATTAAGCCAAAAAAATGAAAATAATGATTCTTTTTTGTTTTTAACTTAAATATCGGTAATATCACTTTGTACAATGTTCTAATTTTTAAGACTTGGTTTTCTCCTCAGATCAATCACATTGTTTCTGTAGCTGGCTGGGGAGTTGAAGATGGTGTTGAATACTGGATTGTGAGGAACTCTTGGGGAACTTATTGGGTAAATGAGATATTGTTGTTTTTGTTTTGTGTTGCGTGTTGTCTGATGCTAAATGTTTTGTTTCATGTTTTCTACTGGCTAAATGAGGACTTGTTTTGTTTCATGTTTTCTACTGGCTAAATGAGGACTTGTTTTGTTTCATGTTTTCTACTGGCTAAATGAGGACTTGTTTTGTTTCATGTTTTCTACTGGGTAAATGAGGACTTGTTTTGTTTCATGTTTTCTACTGGCTAAATGAGGACTGTTTTAATTTTCAACACTGCTTCATTGGTTGATTTAGTTGCATCTAGGACTGCTTCATAAATTTTTGACTATTCACACCAAAGATATCTAACAGTAACAGCATTGATGTGACTTTCCTATCTCGTATCACTGAGTGCTTTACATTTAAAAATGGACATTTTGACTGCAGAATTCCCCATCTTATTGTCGACACAGAAAATAATGTATTAACCTCATCATAATGTTGAAAAATCAGGCAATCTGGGATGAACACTTCACTTTTAAGTGTGACTGCAGCATGGACTATAAAATGATCTGGAAATTTTATTGAGAATGTGAGCCTGAACGCCAGTTCTAACACCTTTAATAATCGCACCATTATCTTAACTCTGGCCTCTGATGTTGTCAACTGATAATTTATAATTTTCTAGAGCATCCATGATCACCTTTTTTAACTCAATTCCTGTTAAACCTTCATCACATGGACTTCAAGAAAACTTTAATTTGTTTGAATTTATTATAAATTATTATCCATACTTACTTATCAAAACAGCATTGATATGTTTTCCTGGTGGCTGATGTCTTGTGTACAATCAACAATTGACTATCACACATTTTTGCATCTAATAAAAAAAATTTGGTTTTTGTTGCAATAGCCATTCAAGTCAATAATTTCATTCTGGATGTCTTTTCCCAGGTAGTGGATCCCATCGTGACAGAATTTTGTTTGTCTTTGGCTCTTAACAAATGTTTCTCCATAACTGGGCCGAATGCTGCTAAAAATTCTTATAATAATTTTAATTTTCCATTAAAGTTATCGTAAAGTATGTCAGGAAAACCTCTGAATGTCAGGTTTTGTGTTTGCCATCATCACTGTAAAGGAAATTAATCTTTCTTTAAACGTCCCAGTGTTTCACTTCCTTTTTCAGGTTCTTATCCATTATGGTTTCCACTGATGCTCGCTTCTGCAGTTGATTTTTTAGTTCCACCCATTTTCTGAAGCAGTCAAAATGTTCAACACTTTGCTCGTGTCTTTTTAAAATCTGTGATATGTCACAAATCATTAACACTATTTCGAGCCAACATAACAAGATTCAAACCAAATATTTTGCAACAAAAACAAACTTTGTGGGACTTTTTTTAATCAACTAACCACAATCACTGAATTCATTCACCCTTATCCATAATTTGGTGGAAATGATTAGAAAAACTTACATTTTCAGAAACTGGTTCAAATTTTCTTTCATATTGGCGGGTCCTTTAATGACGGTTTGCTCAATGAAATCTTTGTTAACAGCTTTTGGCCACTTACTGATATCATCAAAACTTAATACAGTTGAAACTAATGCAGTTGCAAACTGAATTGTTGGACTTATTTCAATTGGATCGACAGAGTCATTCGCTTGGAACACACTTACAGATTCTGTTTCATGAGTCAAGCATTTATTGGACTAAACTTTCAGATTCCACTTCAAAGTCTTGAACAATGTCTAACTCATTTTATTAAGTCAGTTCCTGATGACTTGGTTTAATAAAACAAAAAACTCGAGACATTTGAGTCTTCTTCATTTGCTTCTCTTGTCACTGTATTTTTTTTTTTTATGTCTTTGCTTGTGCCGCTGGTCCTGTGTGTAAGTTTAACTATATTTTTTGCCAATCAGGTACTAAATGAACATGCCATTTTAAATATTTAGTTAAGATGATAGTTTATTGTCATGCCATTTTAAATATTTAGTTAAGATGATAGTTTATTATCATGCCATTTTAAATATTTAGTTAAGATGATAGTTTATTATCATGCCATTTTAAATATTTAGTTAAGATGATTAGTTTATTATATTACACTTAATCCCTATTTAGTACTCCTTTCTTGATTGGTAATAAAGTAATAACACAATATAGTTTTTATTAATGGCATGTTTTAATAAGTGGTTTTTTTTGTTTTTCAGGGTGAACAAGGATGGCTGAGAATTGTGACCAGCAAATATGGTGGTGGAAAATACAATTTAGCTATCGAGTCGGATTGTGCATATGCTGATGTCATAGTTGACTAAAAACATATCGGAATGTCTTTAAAGATTTAATTTTTCTAAGTATAATTTTTTAAAAATATTTTTAATTTAATTTTTATGGCGTGAACATTTCTACATTAAAATTTGAAGTATGCGTATCACATTTTTTGGCAAACCAGTTATTGGCTTTTTAGAATTTGGTTTTAAACGCTTATCAGTGTTTAAAATTAAGTCCAAACTGTTCTGCACAGCAAGATGAAATTAACAGGATATTATTCATTCTATTATTTTATTGAAACATCCCCATTTTTATGTAAGTCAAAAAACTTCTTTCATTATTTGAAGATCTGTATATAGAAGAACGAATATTTTTTTTATTTCGTATTTGAATTTTTTGCTCCACAGATTACTTGAAAAATGCTCATGTTACATTCGATTTCAAGATTTTAAAAATTATTTTTAATCTGTATGTACTGTATTGTCAGGTTAAACGTTTTATTTTATTATATTGCAAAATAGTTAAATTGAGTTTTAAAACAAATACCGGTAGTGAAACAAAAGCTCTGTCATTAATTATTTGAACTTTCTGGTTATATTATTTAGACTTGTAATCTTTGTCTGTGAAGTTATAAATGGTGAAATGAATTGTTTTTTTTTAATTTGAAAAAAGGGCTTTCATATTATGGAGCTTGCTTTAGTCTTTGCCTACAGTTCAAAGCCATTTTATATGGTTGTTTCTCATTTAAATGTTTACAATTTAAATGATCTACACAGATGTCTTTTCAAAAGTCTCCATATTCTTAAAACTTTTGTTTTTGTATTTCAAATAACTATCAAATTATTTTCATTAGGTAAATTAAAATGGAATATTGATCCGTAGATGCTAAAAACTTGTACTACTCATGTGATGGGTTAGATATAAAACATTTTCTTTTTTGAATTTTTCTATGTTGCATTTATCTTTATGCATTGGGAAATATTTTTAGACTGAACATTGCATGATATAGGTTTTCTTGTATTTCTATGCAGCTGAAATTAGGACTTTAAATTTCAATATTTACCAATTTAAACTAATTCTGAGAAGTAAAATGTTTAAATAAGTTTAATTGTTGAGATTAGGTTAAATTATTCAGATTAGGTTAAATTATTCAGATTAGGTTAAATTCTTCAGATTAGGTTAAATTCTTCAGATTAGGTTAAATTCTTCAGATTAGGTTAAATTCTTCAGATTAGGTTAAATTCAATAATACGTCAGAGGATATAATTTGATTCATAAATATGAACCCATGTAACATCAGATGTCAAGATTTCAAAGTTGTTCTTTCTTTCATTTTAAAACATTATTTTATTACAAGTTCACTATTTTAAAACATCAGATGTCAAGATTTCAAAGTTGTTCTTTCTTTCATTTTAAAACATTATTTTATTACAAGTTCACTATTTTAAAACACATTAAGGCCACAAATGAAAAGAATTTAAAATATTGTTAAAATATAAAATGTTGAAACACAGCGGAACAAACCTGAGACGGAAAGTGCTTTGTGGTCATATATCTCGTTACATGGTATTGAACTTGGTATGTTCGTGGGTATTAAAGGAAAAGTGTAACAAGATTAAGCATCTCAGAATTAAGAGAGCTTATCGAGATTACTATCTCCTGCTTTTAGGTGCCTGCAGCAGTCGCGTCTATACGGTGGGGGGTGGGGGAAGAGAGAGAGAGCCGCTTCAACAATGAGTAACAAAATATTGGTAAGGGGGGGAAAAAACTCCTTTATGGGTTTTGAACTGTCTTAAAACCAAGAGTATGATAAAGACAGTGACCTCTTGTATGACTAGAAAATTAATAAAGTTATGTTTTCAAACATCAACCTCCCTGTCCCAAATAAATATTGTATAATAATAAAAATAATTTCTGTTGGACAGTTCCAGAGGAAGGAGGTGTCATTACGTAGATAATATCAATGGTAAAAAGCATGGAAAGTTTTAAACCTGTAGCTATAATACTTTTCCTCCTGAAACATTTCGCATTCCTGAAAAACGCAAAGTTGAGAAAACCGAAAAAGATTTTTTTAAAAACATGAACAATATAGGGCGCATATACCATGTACATGTACCATTCATAAATGAAAAAAACACATAAAAACACAGATATAAAAATAAAATATAGAAAATTAATAAACTCGTGTTTTCAAAATATCACATCCGTCACAAAGTAAAATATTGCAATAAACAAAAAAGAATTAACAAATTTCTGTTGGACAGTTCCAGAGGAAGGAGGTGTTATTAAGTTATTATGTAGATAATATCAATGGTAAGAAGCATTGAAAGTTTGAAGCCTGTATCTGTTTTTACTGTAATACTTTTCTTCCTGATACATTTCACATTCATGAAAAATCTTAAAAACTCAGTTGAGAAAAACAAAAAGATTTTTTTTTGAATTAAAGACTATTTGAACAATATAGGATGCATACATTACCATTTACATGAATCATTCATAAAATAAAAAATACAAAAACACAGATATAAAAGACAGAGAATTAATAAAGTCATGTTTTCAAAAGAACAACACCACTTCCAAATAAAAATATAATTAAAATAAAAATAACTTTTAAATCCCTTTTGGACAGATGCAGAGGAAGGAGGTGTCATTATGTAGATAATGTCAATGGTAAGAAGCATGGAAAGTTTGAATTCTGTAGCTATAATACTTTTTTCACCTAACTCAACTGGCTTCCCTCAAAAATCTGAAAAACATCAAGTTGAGAAAAACGAAAAACATTTTTTTTAAAATTTAAACTACTTGAAAAATATAAGAGGCATATAACATTTACATATACCATTCATAAATAAAAAAAACAATATAAAATCCTCTTGACACATCTGGCAACAACAGAATAATTGAAAATTGTTTGTTGAGAAAAAAATTAAAAATGAAAAATATCAATAAAAACACCTACAGACACTTTCTAATTTAGCTGATGAATTAAACAAGCATATAAACAATTCATTACTTGAAAAAAACCAAAAATACAGTGATATAAATTATATAAAATAATAAAGTCAAGGGGGAGAGAGAAAATTTTGAAACCCATCCTAAATAATTTTAATAATTAAAAAATCTTTTGAACCCCCAGCTAAATACTCCGCACCCCTTTCTAATAGTAAAAGCCTATCTGATTCCCTCCTTTCCGCCCCTCTAATTAGTTCCCTCCTCCTCTTTACATTTAATTTTAAAGCTGACTCAGCTTTCCTAACTCTAACCCTATCCCTCTTTTCCCCCAACTGATGTGTCATATGTCCTATTCCTAAGCCAAGGGAAGATAAAAAGTCTTGGGACGCCTTTGAATCCATATTGAATTCTCCAACACCCACAGCCACAGAAATTTCCAGCCTTGACCGTTTGACAAAAATGTGTTTGGGGCATCGGGACCATATGAGTGAGTGGATGCACTCATTGACGTTCTGGGTTTTTCCTTGAAGGCAGCGGCGTAGCAAGTCCTCGGTGGTCATTTTTTCGTAAACATCTTTCACATATTCCGCTACCGTTGGGTTTAGATATGTTGAAGTATGCGAAAGATGTTTAGGGACAACTAAACCTTTAGCCACTGCCTTCTTGAAAAAACACCAGGATGTCTCACCATCCGGGCAGTCATCATGGTGTGGTTCTTCATCAGTTGAAGTGCCATGCCAGAATCCTGTCCTAATTGCCCACTTCATATCTTCCACACTTTGGTTTGATCTAACAGCCTTTGTGAAATATTTCTATAGCTGTTTGATTTTGTCCTGGGTAAGGCGCCCAACACCCTTACAAACCAGGTGCTACCTTTTGCTTTTTTTTTTGTATCCACCAGGGTCCTCAAGGCAGTTTCAAGTCGTTTCGAAACATGGTTTACGCACTCGTGCTTTTCCAATACCAAGCCAGGATACGGATTAGAATTATGTATCGACTTGATAGTGTTTGTGTCTCCATCGGACACAACAGTACGATAACGTAAACCATGTTTCAGAACTGACCTGCCCCACATTGCAACAGCAGCCTGTTGCTCCATGCTGCCACTAGACCCTGAGTGGTTTACATCACAGGATACTTTATGGCCCTCCATCCAAGCAGTTTACTTGGTCTCACTCTCCTCCCTCATCCTCTGACCCAGTGTTGAACATTTATGGCAAAACTTTGAGAGGCACTCAAAGTCGACAACAAGGCAAGTTCTGTTTTCAATTACACAACCGATGCCAGATTTAGAGCTGTGGCCGCGAGTGCGCCAACTCCCATCATATGACACATCAATGTCTACCACCTCTGCTTGATTTTGCTCTGGATAAGCTGCCTTCACTTTATCCACTGCAAGCTCCAACAACTTATCCTTGTAGGTTGGTAGTGATTGATGCAGGGTGGTAGCATGCTGGTCGAATGTCTTTTGGTGAATGTTTGGTACATTAATTATTTCCAAAAACTTCCCCATATGTGCATGCCCCAATCCAGTCACTAATGATGCTGCCATATCTCTTTTTTTGCCATCAAAAGTTTTGCCATTGCATACAACAGACGAGTAAGATGATGAGATGACAAAGTCACATAAATTACACACGACTTGTAAAAATAAGGCTAATCCAGAGTGTTTCTCTTCATCATTGTGGACAATGAAGTGTCCCTCCTGGCATTGCGGGCATTGAAACTTTTCAAAGAGCCGCTGGTGGGCATCTAACTGTATGATAGATGAGGCAGAGAGGCCTACGGAATGATGAAACTCAAAAGAATGAATTTTTTTCTTAGAGGCAGATGATGCCACTGACTCTTCAGCTCCTCTAGCTTTTGGTAAAGCTTTTGGTGAAGCTTGTGCTGAAGCTGGCTGTGAGGCTGGTCCTAAAGTTGGCAGTGTGGCTGGTGCTGAAGCTGGTAGTGAAGTTTGAACTCTGGCCCTGGTATTTTTTTTCCTTTTGCGCTATTCTGTCTTTCTCAAGTTGCTTGGATCTCTTGGTCTTGGGGGCCATGATGCTCTGTATTATGAACCCCAAAAAAATGTTTTTATTAGCTTTTGAAAAAAAGATATGCTTCTTCCAACACCCCATTTAAGATTTGCTTCCCCATAACACCCCGTTTAAAATATGCTTTCCCCAACAGCCCATTTAAGATTTGCTTCCCCCAATAAAGCAGTAAAGGAAATGACAACAATTGTCCCAAATGGAGCAAGAAATCTTGAAAAGAAGGTAGAGATGGATAAATCATGGTCAAGATGACAGGTGTGTAGCAAGGTTTAGAAAACGAAAACACCTGGCAACATAATATTATAAAGGTTGGAAAGAGTTGGGTTGGAAAGACAAGCATTAGAGAAGTAGCAGAAGGCTTAGAAAGAGATTGTTTAGTTTATAGCCAATGTTTCAGTGGGTCTGAGAATTGAAAAGAAGAACATATGAGATGTGGGTAGGCACAACTAAAATTTTAAAATACATCTGACATAGGGCCGTCTAAACAGCATAGGAGGCCCTGGGCACAGCAATGCACTGGGGCCCCCTAGTAACACAACATACCTGGGCCGCGAGAAGGGGGGCACTCGCCCAATGCTCAAACAGTTTAAAGGGGGGGGGGGGCAAACAGTTCCTGCTCCCCACCAACTCACCAAGAGGAATTTAAATGTAAAATAAAATAAAAATATTAAATAAAGTTAAATTTCGATGAATTCAATTTTTCAATACAAAAAAAAAAAAAGGGGGGGGGGGGAAAACAGTTCCTGCTCCCCACCAACTCACCAAGAGGAATATAAATGTAAAATAAAATATAAATATTAAATAAAGTTAAATTTCGATGAATTCAATTTATCAATACAAAAAAAAAAAAAATCATTCATGATCAATAATAGTTTAAAAACCTTAGGAATAAATTCTAAATAATCACAGAAGATGATCAATTATTTCATTATTGACTGATAAGTAGAAATATTTAATATAAATCATCATAATCGGTTGCGTATATTTTTTGGCAGAGAATTGTTTTATTATTAGTTTAAATTCAATGGCATGATGGTCTTAGGTATGTCATTTTCCATGTACATACATGAAAGTCAGTTCAAACGTTTTTGTTATTTGTACTGTGAAGCTGATTCTTACTTCTTTTTTTTTTTTTTTAATTCATATCTGGGAAAATTAAAACTTATTAACGAGAGTTCTTCCCCTTGAAAAGTTTTACCATTTTCCAACTTTGATTTGCAATTATAATATTAATTTTGGAATGTGCTGATATATAACGTGGGAAAAATTGTGAATTTTTAACCCCTTTAAGGCTTTAACTTAAATTGTCAAAATCTTTCAATATTCAATGATTCAATGAAATGTCAATTGTCAAAATTCATTAAAAATATGTGAACTTGGTCTTAAAGCATGAAAAAAAATACCTCTTAATATAATAATGCTTTAATAGTGAGTCTCCTAGAAACGTGAGGCCCCCTACGCCTATAAGCACGGGGCCCTGCCCACTGGGCCCATGCCTTAAGACGGCACTGATCTGACATGCACAAAGAGGAAAGAGCTAGCTTTATGCTTTCCAATGACACCAAGTTAAATGCGAGTGAAAGATACGAGTTTTTGTTTTACCGGAAATATAAAATATAAACAAAGCCACGTGATTATTTCGACCAATCATGCTATATTGTAAACACAAGTCTTCACCGGTCTGGGTCTGGGGAAGGAACTCAGAAAGATTTTAGTTGTCTGAAACTTAACTTAATCAACTTAATGCAGTATTGAAATAATTTCTTTGTAAATAATATGTTTATTTTATTTCGGTGTGCATAGCTGCATATCGAAGTTAATGAAAATTTACGACATTATTTTTTGACACATTATGGCTGGCAGATATTCTGAAATTTCGATCCCTTCCACTAGTTCGAACAATAACAATCGTTACGCATCTTCATCTTTTGTACCTGGTAACCACGGTGTCGGCGACATTGGTTATAGGTCCACACCGCCAGCTGGTGTAACCTCCGGATCGCAAAACAAAAAAGGCCAAATGCAAACTCTTATGACCGAATTTAAGAGTCTGTATGAAGGAAAACTAAAAAGGCTTGATGATGCCGAGCTAGCTGGTGAAGAGACATCAAAGGTGGGGAAACAAAAAAAAATTAATGTCTAAAGTTAATGTTAATGAATGTAATAATAGTATATAATATATTATATGGGTTCATATTATGTTTATTCCTAAACTAAACTAAATAAAAATTATAGTAGCCATGATTATGATTTGTCTTATGATTGATTAATAGTTAAAGTAGGCCTAAAGTTGTCGTTTTTTTTTTTTAATTTAAAGTATTTAATCAGTGATTTAGATAAGTAGATTCTAATTATTTACTTTATAATATCTCCACTTTTGGAAATGACATTTCAATAAAAATACTTTGGTAAGACTGTAACAAGACTATTAATACTATTACAATCTGAGAATTGTTTAGTAATTTTGTAATGATGTAATGATTATTAAAGGGAATTTTACTAAAGAATGTTTGAAATTGAAATGATTAAATTGGTGACTTACTGTGTACTTTGATTTTGATGTCAACCGCAATGACAGAAGAGGTCTAAAAAAATCAGAAATGCTGCAGGAAAGAAGAAAAAAATTGGCTATATTAAGAGAGAATTTGAATAATAAATTCCCTATAATTAATGATAGAGACATAAGTTAATACTTTTTTTTTTTAATGTAGCCTACTATTTCATTTAAATTGAATTTGCATAAAAATAAAAAGTCAATAAAAACAAACA